TACATGTTGATGTTGTCCAGAAAATTATTAGCACTCCTGCTGACGTTGATGGTACATTTCTTGACACGCTTGTTTGGGGTCCTAGTTCCAATGGGGAGTTCACAGTTAAATCTGCTTATAATATTTGCTCCAGCTTGTCTCAAGGGGTTGATGATAGCTGGTATTTTATTTGGAAGCTTAAGATTCCTCCCAAATTAAAAGTGTTTCTATGGCTATTATCCCAAAATAAAATTCTGACCAATGTGCAGAGAACAAGAAGGAAAATGACAAATAATTCAGCTTGTCCGTCTTGTCATTGCCATATGGAATCACTTCAGCATGTGTTCATCCTTTGTCCTCGAGCTCAAGCAGTATGGAACTCTTTCTCCTTACCTGATTGTGTTAAGGTATCCTTTTCTACTGACTTTAATTGTTGGTTGCGTTTAACTTGAAAACTGCTGTTGTTAATTCTTTCAACTTGAGACGCTGCAATATTTTTGCTACTGGTTGCTGGTTTATATGGAGATGCTGCTCTGTCTTAGACTCTTCCTTCCACTATCCTGATCTGCCCAATGCATGGATTTTGAGGTTTCTTGTGGAATGGGACATTGCTAATAAAAATGGTGGGATCAATAGACTCAGGATGCAAACTTTGCTGGCGTGGAAGCCTCCCCCTGTTTCTACCATGAAACTGAATATTGATGGGTCTAGAATTGGTTCTAGGGGCACTATTGCTGCTGGGGGCCTTATTCTTAATTCTGTTAGTGAGTGGTTAGCAGGTTTTTCTGCTAATTTGGGTCATGGGGATATTTTGGTGGCTGAACTGTGGGCGTTGTATCATGGTCTAAAGCTAGCTCAAAGGTTGCAAGTGACAAAGCTTATTGTTGAAACTGATTCTACTCTTGTCTTGCACCTTTTGAATGCTAAGTTGGAGCCGAATCACCCTTTCCTTCTTTTGCTAAACATGTGCAGAGTTTGTTGGAAGAGTTCCTGGGACTGCAGAATCTTTCATGTTTTCAGGGAGGTTAAGTTTGCTGCTGACTCTTTGGCCAAGATGGGGCATGAGATGGAAATGGGTATTCATTTCTTTGTTTTGCCTCCTGGTGGTATTATTAGTGTCCTTCAAGAAGATAGGGATGGCCTTTTAAGGTCTAGATTGATTTATGTTTAGTTGTTGTCTGAGCTTAGCCCTCTTTGTTACCCAAAAAAAAAGGAGTTGATATGTGAAATTTGGGTAGTCATTCTCCTATACAAAACCAGATGAAAAACGAAACTAAATCAAATAGCTAATTATAAATGAGAGAAGTCAAAATACATGAGCAATATAAACTGATTAGCAAAATAAACCGTATAAAATTCTGATAGAAAAAAGTGGAGAAAGACAAATGAGCAATGTAAACCAATAAATCAACTAGCTAAATAAATACTTAAAAAGTAACAGTTATCAAAGAAAGAGTTTAGGCAAGGAACACAGGTAGGGAGTCCAGCAATAAATACCAACAAATTGACACAAATACTCCTAAATATGTATGCTTTGCTCAAAAGTAATGACACAGAAAGTAAAAGAACATAGTTTATTTAAATCCGTAATCCGTGCATTTTGTGAGACTAGTGAGAGAAAAAAAACCTCAGAAAAGCAAAAAACTGAACTACTCATTATACTACAGAAAAAAGTGTTATTTACAGCTAATATTAGCTTCCTTCAAGGCCTTGGCTACAAAATCAGGGCAAAAGAAAGAGAGAGAGAGAGAGCTTAAGCTAAAAGAAGAAAAGGGAACTACTGTCAGTTAAATATTAGCTAAATAATTAGTGATAGTGGATAGTTTTTAGCTTTAGCCAAGTCAAAAAAGAAGAATCATGACATAGTGAACTATTGGTTAACGGTTTTGCTATTTCCTTGACCATCATACAATGTTTTACCTGACTCTCTGATGTTTATCTTTAGTGAGATTGGATGTCCTTCCTACGGGGAAAATGCAATTAAAGTTTATTGGGGAATTCAAATCAGAAAAACCAGTGATGACCAATGATTGTTGGAGAAGACGTGGAAATCTTCTCTATTATAAGTTCTTAAATTTAGCTGCCTAGCTACTCTTTGGCCTATGACTTTTTGTATGGATCTTATTTTGGTTCATTACGCTCATGGGACATTGTGTGTTTCTGTTGTAGTTCTAGGCTGGTTTGCGTAGTCGAAATTCCAAATTTCATCCTTTTCATATTTGTCAATCCATGTACTGTTTAAATTGGGGATACTAGTAGACTAGGAAATCCCGTTGCTACATTTATAGTCAATCATGTTCACTCTCTCTCTCTCTCACACACAGACCGAATTTGATTCACTTGCCAAATCTTATAATGTTAGGAGATTTGGAATTTGGTTTTTAGCATCATCCCTCTACCAATTCAATGCTCAATGAGAAGTCATGTTAAATGAGCCTTGGAGAAAGCTTTCGTGAACTCAAGTTTATAGGTTTTTTTTGCTATTCATTTTAATAGATTACTTCTTTTATTTTTTTGAATTGTTCAAGTTTTCTCTAATCATTCTTGTTTCATGGTTACTGATGTTGTTGAACACTTCATTCTCAAAATTGATAAGTATATAGATTAACACAACATATGCTTACCTTCAATTCCAAGAAAGGACTTTGGTTGATGTATTTTTTCTTGGTGAAGAATAAAGTAGATGCTTGGACTCTTGGGTAGAAATTTGCAGCACCTAGTATCAGCTGACTTGTTTCATGTTGCATCCTGTTCCTGGATCAAAACACATTTGTATGTGCTATGCAGCTGGCTAACTGGATGCAGCCTCCCATTCCTTATTGTTTTCGTTGCAAGTTACTAAATTGTCACAAGTTGTTAACCTTCGTACTTTGGCTCTTGGTCTAGTCTACGCATGAATGCAAAGTATGCAGCCTTTATTTGGTTGACGATTGAAAGCATATGGTGCAGCCAATGAATTCTGGAATGATCGATCTTTGTAGAGAGAGAATGTTTTGTTTTTTGTTTTCTTTTCATTTTGTTATTGGAAATTTCTGTAGAGCCAGAGCCATTGCGCATCATAGACAGCTGGACAGATAATTTGTCTCATTTATGAGATAATGTTATTTATGAGATAATGTCACACTTCATTTTTGACATTACAGTATTTGAATATGCAAGTTCCTTTCAAGATTTAGGGAACATAATTCAATAAAAAAAAACAAAACAAAAAAGGTATACAATACAAGCAAGCACCAAGAGCTTTGAATTATTCTTCTGCATAGATGATTCAGGTCCTGGTCTCGTTTCATTTGGCATCTGCTTGTCTTTCCTATAGCACAACAGTTAGGCTGATGTAGTAGATTGCAGAGATTGAGAGAGAAGGCTGCAAGCTGAATATTGCTGCCTAGAAAAGAAAATAAAAGGGAAATTTAAGTAACAGTCTCCACCGTGCACTGCAACAAGATAACGGAAGCACAAACAAGATGCACTGGTTTGGACAAGTGATGAATATGAGTTTCCACCTTGAGGGATTTAGGGGTCTGATCAAGCTGTCAACTTGCTTTGCGAGATCATATCTCGATATCTGTGCTACTTCTTATATCTCTGGAAACCAGGAAGAACATGTCTACATTGAGGAGCACTTGTGCATTCCAAAAAGTAGCATGAGCATAGCATCTCCAACCGATATGTTAAAAGTGCCACATAGACATTTAACAGTTAGAAATAACATCTCACACCACTCCAACCGATGTGTCAAAGCTGATGTGGAATGAAGGTTGAAGATTGAGATGTTATTTTTGACATCCCAAAAGCAAGATGTCAAATGAATATTTTTTATTTTTTCTTTTCTATTCTTTTTAATTAAAAATAAATCAACACTAAAATGTAATAAAATAATAATTTAATTTGACATATCGGGTGGAGTGTAAAGCTGTGTAAGATGTCAAATTGCCACATCAGCCATCAAATTTAAATTTGATGTTTGGAATTTGACATCTCCCTTGGAGATGCTCTAAAATATCCTTCACACAGTTCATACAGCAGCATCCTCTTAAATCTTAACCTCATTATCATTATAAGGCATAATTAGGAAAAAGTAATGCATATACCTTCATGGCCATGTTTGACAACTATTATTGTAGCTAAGGCCAAGTCCAGCGGGAGCACAAAACCGGGCAAAAGGCAGCCCAGTCAAGCCAAACAGGCCTCCAGCGCGCAGTCTCAAGCCCGGGCAAGTGGTGGGTTCCACCAACCTGGGCAAGCCCACGGGTAGATCTTGCCTGGGCTGCAGCCCGAAGGCGCTGACGCAGCGCTGATGTCACGCTGACGTCAGTGAGCAAAAAAATTCAAAAAAAATTCAAAAAAATCCAAAAAAATACCAACAAATTATGGATGTTTTCCCTATAAATACATAACAATTTTATTCACTTTCTAAATTGTTTATATTTTGTTGCATAATCTTTTTTTTTTCTTGCCCTTGCCCTAGCCTTCATGGGTGGAACCAACTAAGGCAAGGATGCCACTATTCATGTGAATAGTGGCAGCCCTTGCCTTGCCTTGCCCTTGCCCTAGCCTTCATGGGTGGACTTGCTCTAAGGAGACTTGCTTTTTGGCTACATTTATAGTCAATCATGTTCACTTCTCTCTTTCTCTCTCACATACACCGACCAAATTTGACTCACTTGCCAAATCTTATTGTAGTTATTTATTTTTTTTATTTTGTCATTATTATTATTATTATTTTGCATACAGAATATATTATTGTATTCTAGAAAATACGTACGTAAGTGTCGAGGTTTCAAAATACATATGGAAAAAGGAAAACAAGACCATGCGAATCACATGTCCTTTTTCATTTTGTCTCCAACTCATTCAAGAATCTACATATTGGAAGAAATCAATCAAGCACCAAAACTGTCATCCTTGTTCACCACACAAACATTATTTCAATATCGGAAAATTTCAGAAAAAAATAGTAGGAAATTACATGCTGCAAAAAGTGTATCACGTCTGTAGCAAAGAGGATTAAACAAGTGAAATTACAAAACAATTAACTCAGCTCCTGGAGGTAGTTTTTTACCAATCTGCAAAGCACGCTTTCGCGCTGCCCTCAATTGTTTCTGGGTTGTAACTAATTCAGACAATAGAGTGGATTCTTCAACCACAACCTTTCTGAGATCGACAATAAACGTTTCCAGTGCTATGGCATTCTCAGCGAAGTACATGGCAAGCTCAGTGTCGATACTAGACCCAACGAACCCAGAAAATTTCACCACCTTAAGGCACTGATGAGGACATTTATTAACCGTCTGCATATTCCTCAGACATGGCACTCGTGCCCATCTCAGCTGCACAAGGACAAAAACAATAGCTTATCAATCTACCTTAGACAAGTAATTCCACATATACAAGTTTTTCAAAAACCACAGAAAAACAATACAACTTTTAGAAGTTTGTGTGCATAAACATGAATCAACAAATACCTTTCTGAAACCATTAAATAAACTTCCCAACTTTAAATTGTAAGATATACTGAAAATAAATTTACCTCCAATGTAAATCTATGCAAGAAAGGAGACCGCTCTATCAATTTAGTCAAATTAAGGAGGCTTTGCCGATCACTTGCGACAACATTCAATGTTAAGTCCTTGAGACAAGTTAATTCTGGAAATTCTGGGTGCCTCACCATTTCACTCTGAAAGATGAAAAGCAAATTTTGAAAATAAAGTCCATATATATATAATAAATACTGAATTATTTAATATACTGACCATATTCAGATTCATGTGCAAGTTGAGATTGAGAGTCACCAGCTGAGGAAGACAACTTTTAACCGAAAGAAAAGTTGGAACTATAGACCTAGTACTTTCTGCAAGAGATACATTTACAAGCAAGGGTGCATGCCTCAAACGAATACTGTCATAAAAACCCAGCATTCCGTGATAAATAAATGACACGAGATTAGGAGCACAAATCTCAATTTTTTCTAAACACATGCAGTCACTTATTTGTAGGAACTTCAACCGGAGTGACGAACCGGCAACTTTCAAAGTTACTAATTGATCCGAGCAAGAAACACAGAGATGCTCAAGGAGTTCACAATGTGATAGAAAGTGCTCAACAAGTTCACCGGTTATGTTTACAAAGGACAAAGAGAGGTGTTTAAGGGACTTGATGCAGGAAACGCCGAAAGGGCTTCTAAATGGCTTATTTGGAAATATATAACTGGCATAAGAAAAAGGAGAAAGTCTACCTGCTTCCAAATCTATCTCAAGCCTTTGAACTCTCTTCCGCATTGCGAACTCAATCCAATTGTCAATTTCAGAACTACTAGGCCCGATATAGGTTGAGGAAGAACAAATTCTGAATGCATCTAAGGATGGACACTGGTGCAATTGCAGGACTTGGTTCACCCAATTGTAACTGGGTGTTGCTTGTCCTCTTTTCTTCGACGGTTTATATAATGCATCTATGTCGTCGAAGTTGAGACATGTAACATGTTTCCACACATAGATCCACCTCTTAGAGAGGAAACAAGTTCTTGCTGCCTCCCTAATGCTCAGTAGGGAAAGAATGCTAATTAGAATGGCGTCAGGCAGCTGACTAATCCGATCCACCTCCGAATAAGTCTCTCCCTTGTCACCCAAATTGATTGGAAGTTTTTTGCGTTTCCCATATGTCCATTCGGAACGCTTAGCCTTTCGTTTCGGCATGGAACATACCCTTCTTATTAATTTGGTCCCTTCTTAAATATTACAGGGTAATCAAATATACATAAACTAGAGATTAAGAGGCACAGGAACCAGTAGCTAATGAAAATCCCCAGGTTTTCATTCACAACTTTGCAATCTAGAATTACCAAAGCAGCTATATATACTCAATTATTTATATGCTGCAAACCGACTAAAATCCGCCAATTCCAAATCCAACCAGGAAACTATTTTTCTCTTTCCCACACTTTGAAGGAGAAGCGAAACCTTCTCTTCTATCTCTTCTTTTGTACAACGTAACCCATAGAACACAATTGCATCTTCGAAAGAGTAAATCTGTCACTGATATATGTATTTTGTTTTTTTAATACGAAAAGAGCTCGCAAATTTGATTGGAAATCGTCATGTAATTCAAAATTCCAAACTTTTAACAGGAAATGAACTTACATAAATCAAAAGGGAGAAACTTGCTTATAAGCCTTTAGATCTCTTAAAATCCAAGGATATTAGATTCGTGTTTCACAAAATTAACCATGGGAATTGGAGATTTGAACAAGATTATTAGTATGAGTTAGTGTGTTTAATGGTTATTATGATAAAGAAGGCCCTGTCCTGGAACAACTGAAGTTAATTGAATAGAAGTGACGTGAATTAAGAAATTACAGGAAATCTAATCTTAAAATATATAATAAAAAGGGAGTGGGTTAGTAGAATTAAGATGAATCTATATTTGTCAATAGGGTCTAGTCTAATGGAAAAGACCCTTGATTTGCAGACCAGAGGTCTCAGGGTTTGAATTCTCACAGCATCATAGTTATGTATGTGTGAGAAATTCCTCTCCTCTCTAATTTAGACTATCGCTTGGACTAAAAAAAGATGAATATTTTGATTCATAGCAAAATAACCAACATTAAAAAAAATAAAAATAAAATAAAATAAAGGGAAAGAAATCTTTCATTACCGGGCTCAAATGAGCAACCATACAAAATGATGGTAGCCCAAAATGCAAAACTTTCGCAGTAAAAAAAGAGAGTGCTAAACTGGGCTTGTAAGGTTGTCGTTCTATTGGTAGGTCCAGAGCCCACCAAAACAAGTAGGAACCTATGGCACAGTAGATGCTCTTCTATTGACTTTGTAACATGTGTCTTTCTTTTTTCTGAAAAATAAAAATTGTGTAACATCATAAACTAAAGTGCAAAACACAAGCAAATGTCCCACTAGTGTAGTAGTTTGAAGCAATTGCTCTCTCAGGCCTGAGTTCGAGCATTAGCATCCATCTAACGTGTGAGTTTAATATATTATCTCCTATTTCAATGAGAAAGGTTCTTTAAAAAGAAAAAAAAAGTGCATAACACAAAACGTTAGCAGGCACTAGGCAAAACAGAGCACTTCATCGAGAAAAAGACAAAACCACTGGTTGGAAGCAAACTTGAAAAAGATCTGAGCCATGAAAGAAAACCACAAAACAGAGCACTTCATCGAGAAAAAGACAAAACGACTGGTTGGAAGCAAACTTGAAAAAGATCTGAGCCATGAAAGAAAACCAAGTTTGTCCATAGAATATATAGTATACTTGGATTGGATGGCAGTCATTGCCAGTTTTCGGAACGATGGTGAAAGCTGTTTCATTTAAGATAACAAAGGTAATTTTCTTACAATTCAGCTAGAATTTCCGAATTACCAGAGATATCTTCTATTTCAGATTGTTGGGATGCGGTCATAGAGCCTTGCGCTGCAGCAATTGTAGGAGAAACCAAGAAAGGCTTGGGTGCAATTTGCAAGGAATGAAGGGGTCCTTCCAACATCTCTACTACTTTGCTCATTGATGGCCGATCAGAAGGATTGGTCTGAATGCACCAGAGACTTATTAATACCATCTTTCTTGCTATTTCTTTTTCCTCCTCTGTGATTGCCCCAAAAGCATTCTCATCATTGTCTAGCTCTAGATCTTTATAAATGTAATGCGGAAACATTTCACTGGTATGAGACACTCCCGAATCCAAATTCTTTCTTGCTCCAACCATTTCAAGAACCAACATGCCGTAGCTGTAAACATCAGATTTGTGAGACACGCCTCCAAAGTTCCGGCTAAACACTTCTGGTGCAATGTATCCTGCAGTTCCTCTGAGCCCCATCATGGATACAATACTCTCCTTCGTTTTGCATAGTTTGGCAAGGCCGAAATCAGCGATTTTTGGGCAAAAATTTTTGTCCAAAAGAATGTTCTGTGGCTTGATGTCAAGATGCAGAATTCTCGTGTTACATCCACGGTGTAAGTATTCTAGTCCTCGAGCAATGCCAACAGCAATTTCAGATAGTGTTTTCCATTCTAAGCGACAATTTGCTGTTTCAGACCCCTGTTTATGTATGAAATTATCTAGAGATCCATTATGCATGAATTCATATATCAAAGCTCTTTTGTCCCTCCTCTCATAACAGAATCCAGAAAGAGTGACAATGTTGACATGGGAGGTTCTACCAATGCTAGCAACTTCATTAATAAAGTCTTCTGCATTACCCTTGGACTCGCTTAGGACTTTCACCGCCACGACAAGGCCATCTGGCAGCCTGCCTTTGTACACGGTTCCAAATCCACCTTTACCTATTTTATCTTTGAAATTGTCTGTCATTTTCTTGACATTTGCATAACTATACCGTTTTGGAGTAAGGCATTCATAGTTCCTTATAAATTCCTCAACATCAAACTCATCCACTATATCTTTCTTGCAGAAACCCAACATTCTTTTCCTTGATATGCATACAATACAAGCAATGATTATGAGGATCCCCGAAACACCAGCCGAAATGCCTATATTGAACAATTCTTCAAGTTATGCATTTTATTGATATGTGAAAGAAAGCAAAGATTGAAACTTGTGGTACTTGATATATATTTATCATATACGCACCTATTTTATATTTAGCCTTTGAACCTCCTGCACAGAAAAAAGGTTAAATCATAAGATTTCTTCGGATGGTATATCATATTCTTCTTCAATATCCAGTTATGACGCCAAGACTACAAACTCAAGTATTTGTGATGTTTCATTGTGTTAGGGAGTTACACCAGTAATCACCAAATCAGTGAGACCTATTCAATATGCTCCGTAACAGTTTTCAGTTATGAAATTAATTATGTCATTTACTCTGTCATTAGCATAGGGCTGTTACTCTAGTCATTACTGTATAAATATTGTATCCATGTATCATTGAAATAAACCTTTTCTACATGGTATCAGAGCATATTGAATAGGTCTCACTGATTGAATTATCAAAGTCAACAAAGGTAGGTGTATTTCTTTGGCTGCTTGGAGCATATATTACTGCAGAGTGTTGAAGTCCTTAAAATGTTGATTGGCACCATCAAGACTTCCAATTTGATGCATGTACCGAAGGATCAAAATGACCATGAACACTCATAAGGGTTTAAGCTTCAATTAGTTTACAAAATTTTCTATCCAAGGTATTCAATTGCTGAAATTCATAGCAACAACACAGTCTCTTTTCTCGTATATCTGTGAGGTTCAGCAGTTTCTATTTTCTGTTTCTGCAGATAGTTGGCTCTAATTACCATGAACTCTTCCTACTTTAACATGGACTCCATAGTCTTCAAATAATGGTATCAGAGTATCAAACTCACACACCTCCTTCTAAATTCTAACAAATGACATAAAAGACTTGTAACATCTTCTTCCTAATAGTCTGTAATTTATAAGAAAAATGACAAAGGACAGACATACTACCTTCTGGTCTGGGTGGTGGATTTGTATTCTTTGGTGTATTACATGTGGTTGCATAGGCCCGATCCTGGCAAAAGCAATTGAACCCACCAGAAGTAGTGTTAAGACCACACTTCCCTCCTGATTCCACGCAAGCGTTGCAATTATCAGCACGGACTTTCAATTCCAATTCAAAGCCCCCATCTACCGCTTCTTGGATAGTTGTCCGGTTGGCCTTTAGAGCCACAGCAGCTGTTGTAGAAACCGGAACAATGACCTGATTTTTACAGGCGACGGGAGCAACTGGATCAGCTGGGGGACTTGGTGTGACAGACGACGCAGTCATATTAGCGCTGGCTGTACCGCAAATTTGGGAACTATTTGTTGTGCTATTGCACTTGGAAACGGCCGCATTTGTTACCACAGAGGAAGTATAATTAGACAGAGAGAGTCGTGTCACATATGAAGTTTTGCTTCCACTGCAAACTTGGGAAGAAGAATTAAGCTTTGGGGTAGTTTTACTTGTACTTGTATTGCACCCGTAGTAAAAGGTCAGGTTTGTAAACCCAGAGGAAGGATAATTAAACAGAGAGAAGTTGATGCTGGTGTTAAAAAAAGCAGGAGGACAAATAGTTTTCCAATAGTCCTGCCTAGCAACTGTAACAGACGGAGGAACCCTACTGGAGTTGGTTTTAAGAATTCTGTAGTTGATATTCGACATGCTGATCACGGGCACATTGTCTAGGCATTGGACCTCAAACCCGGGCAGGCCACAGTGACTAGATCGGTTTCCTCCCCAAAAGGGGTACGAGATGCCTCCGATGCCACCGCAGTTAATAGCTTCGCTGCAGTTAATCCTATCCTTGGAAAGTGCCACGGCCCGCTCATGAATGTTTAGATGGTATTGCTCGTCACACTTGGCTGCACCTCTGCCGTCCCCGCCTTGGCTGAAATCGTTGAGATCAGGGTTGTCGTTGCACTTACGGTTGATGCATATGAGCTGACCAGCACAGTCGTCGAGGGTTGCGCATGCGCCGTTGCAGGAGGATAGGGCCATTGATGGGTGAGGAAGGGAGATGAACAAAAGATAAACAAACATCAACACTAAACTTTCCATTTTGGAAGTGCTTTGTTGCTTTGTGGAGGCGGCTATGTTGGCTAGCTACTTTGCTTTCCTTCCAGTTTCAGAGTTACACATTTTTGCTGCTACTTTAATTTATCTAATTATTTGAGTTTGAGTTAGAAGAATTGTCCACGAGCAATAAATTTGAGGTCGAAAATCAGTGATGATGATGTTAAAAGCCAACAATTGCCAACCAAATTCCTATAGTATCAGAAGGAAAGGCTGGTCTTCACCAGAGTCCACGCAAAGTAGTCAACACGCAAATTAAGTTGACTATATTATATTGGAGTGAAGGATGGTCTACTTTTTGGACCCTCCCTTCCCACCGCAAAACCGAGGAGGAGAGGAAGACCTGAGGTTCATCCCAAGGAGGCACAAAAAAGCTCCAAGATCGTTGACACCATGTTCACCTCACCTCCAATTTTATTAAGCAAATCTCACCAATCAAGAGATAACCCATGCTAGTCGTATATCACATGCCACCAATTAAGGAGTAGGGAGCCATAGCTCTCACATGCTTTCTCCATATCCAAGGAGAAATTATAGAATAGGACTGTATCACCATGTCAATACTTCCATTCAAAATTTGTCATGAAAAAAGCTTTACTTGTTTTGAAAAATGACAAGTGGCAAATTTTGAATGAGAGTACTGACATAGTAGTACAGTCTTCTTTTGTTCTTGTTAAGCTGCTATATTTAAAAATAAAAATAAAAAAATACTAAAGGCACAAACTTTGGGCACCACCTTGGACACCAACTCTATAATAGAGCGTGGGACCCGTTGTATTGGTGGGCTCCACCTATATTAGAGAGTTGATGTCCAAGGTGGTGCCCAAAGTTGGTGCCTCTAGCACCACCCAAATAAAAAAGACAAACGAAAGAGAGAAATTCTTGTTAAATCATTAGAGAAACTGGGTGTTTGGGCCTCCTTTTACATAATTAATATTTACAATTTTAGTAAAATACCCATTCCTAGACCAAGTCATAGCTTGGGCTCTAGTATTTATTGAATATCTGAGCCAGTCAAATGACTAATATAAAGAAATTATTATTTAATTGATAATTACCTAAATCAAGTGGATTTTCTCGGTTTGGCTTTGGCGGCGAAGACAATCAATTAGATATTTAAACCATGATCTAATCCAGAGATTACTTCTTTTATATAGGGTTACACTTATATAAAAGGAAGAGGTGCTTCAAGAGACACACAACTTTCCAACAACAAACTCTACACAAAAATTATAGCTCTTTCATAAAAGAACGGTTTATTTGTTTTATTACTATGCCAAGCCTTTTTGGTATCAATTGTCAGTCAACTTAGTGTTTTACCATTTTAACCCTATTGTATTAATTTGTAGTTCTTTTTGATTTTTTGAATAGTTTACCATTCTCTGTCTTTTGCTTTATATATTTAAATTAAAAGTAAGTGGGTTGGTTTAATGGTTATGTTAAAGAAGACCCAAGTAATTAGGGCAGCAAATATAAGACCCAAGTAATTAGCGCTCACTCTCAACTCAATGTTATGTTGATCTTCATGTGTTAATGCAGACTGCAGCCCCATTTCTATATTGAACCTATAAATTGAGCAAATTGATTAGAGCATCTCCAACTGTAGTAGCAAACTAAAATTTTCAAATTAAAGTTTGTTGACGTATGTGAAAAATTGAAAAGATTTGTTTGATACTTTAATAATTTGTGTCTCAACAGACTCTTTAATTTAATTAATGCAGTGTTATATAGAAAAAAAAAACGAAAACATGTAAAGAAAGTCTATATATTTATTATATGAAGAAAAAAAAAAGTGTAGGTGTGATAGAATTTTCGATGTAGGTTTTGTTCTTCTAAAGTAAAATTAAATGTTTTGAAGAGCCAAAGTCAACTTGTTAGTTTTGAAGAGAGATAAATGGTTGCATTTTTTGTACTTGAGTTTGACAAATTTGTTGGAAAGAATTTTGATGATGTTGCTCACCTATGTTAACTTTCCAAAATTATTGAATAAATCTTTCATTACCAGGCCCAAATGAACAACCATACAAAATGATAGCCCAAATGCAAAACTTTTGCAGAAAAAAAAAAAAAAAAAAAAAAAAGTAGGAACCTAGTGCATAATTTTGGGTAGATGCTCTTCTATTGATTTTGTACATACATATGTCCTTTTTTTTTCTTTCAGAAAAATAAAAATTGCGCAAAGATTACTGCGGTTTATATTGTGCCAACAAAAACCCTGAAATATCAAGGATGCTTGTTCATCGATGTGTTGAAACAAGATCTGTCTGCTTTGGATACTTTTTTGTACCCAACTTGTCTCTTTGTAGGCATTCTAGTGAGTGCGTATGTGTGGTTTACATCTCCAACACTTGTGTGGACTTACTCATACACTGAGGTTTGAATGTGACTCTACACAAAGTTCCAAGTGATGGAGTGTATGTTTTTGTAAATATATTCTCATATGCATCTTGGTTGTAGATTCATTTCATGCATAAAGGAGACAACCCGATTAATTAACCTTGTTTAGGTTTAATCAAATCATCTCTCCCTATGCTGACCTCAATTCTAGTTGGTTTGTTTTAATTAAACCTTGTTTAGGATTAATTAACTTTTCTTTTGGTTTGTTTTAAGTTATTTATGTATAAGGTGGTAATAACTTAAAACAAAGGTTGTAACTGGGCTACACTTGCAACAGTTGCATTGAATATTCTGTTGTTATGCTGTGTTGTTGAAGGTTTTGAAGCCTCTCAATTGAAACTGTTGAAAGGTTACATGCGTCAATTTGAGTGGTATTATGCAATTTCTTGAAGCCATACAGAGGTAGGCTCCAACATTATCATCATCACAAAGTACACAGACGTGGGCACTCTAATTGCCCATCAAATTACTCACACACCATATCCACATCTCTTATGATTGAACTACAAGCTCTCACACACACCTCTACCACTCTCCCTCCTTAAAAAAGGACCGTGAGCAACAAAGATAAGCTTCTCAACAAAATCAATTTAAACCCAAGAAAAAAAAACAGAAGAAAAAACCAAAGCCATGGCTCAAACAATGTTGCTCATGTCTAGCAGTGTGTCTTCAAGCCATGTGGTGGATTTGAAGTCCTCTGACCCTTTACTTCAATTACGAGTGCAGAGACTTAGGCCCAAGTCTTTCTCTCAACTTGTGTTCAGACCACTTCCTTCATCCTCTTCTTTTGCCTCCTCATCATCTCCTGCCATTTCGACCGTCGTCGCGCTCTTCAAGTCAAAAACCAAAGCCCCTGTCAAGAAGGTTTTCATTTTTTTTTATTTATAAATATTTCTCATAGTGCTTTGTTTTTGTTTGTAACTAAGACATAACTTATCAACATTTGTTTGATTTGGTTTTGTTTTTTGTTTTTACTAAATTGAGCAGGCAACACCGGCGAAGCCGAAGGTTGAAGATGGTATCTTTGGAACCTCTGGAGGCATTGGTTTCACAAAGCAGAATGAGCTCTTTGTGGGTCGGGTTGCCATGATTGGCTTTGCTGTGAGACAATCTTCTTCTTCTTGCTGTCTTTGTTCTGGTTCTAGTCTTCTTTGTCATTTATAAATAATTTTCTATTTTTTCTTAATTTTATTGCTAATATAAAGTTGAGACAACTTCTGCACAATTTTTTTTAAGGCCGGTTTAGGTTCAAAATCTCCGACACTCTGGTTTGAGATGTCTTGTTCAATCTTTAATTTCAAATGAGCTAAAATTTCAAAACTGGGTGAGCTGTGGGCTCTAAAAATACTTAAATGTTGTTTTTGGAATGTGGATTGTGGGCTGTACTTAAATAAATTTACTTTAAAAATTTGCATATTTCTGCTCAAAATTTATCACATACACATAAAACACTAATTACATTATTATGAAAAAAACAGAGTAGTACATATATATATATAACCATACAATCAAAATTTCATTGAATTAAAAAAAACTCTCACTTAATCAACCTATCTCCTTTCTTTGAGTGAAACATATTCACAACAATTTGCCTGGCAGGGGCATAATTGGCATGAATGGCCGAAAGCTTAAGATAAGGTCCAAATAAAAATAAAGTGATTTCACATCATAAATGAGCCATTCAAATGACATACACATACAAAATAATGGGCTAGTCATGTGTGATAAGAATTAGAAGAAGCTTGAAATTTTACTTTCTTTTTTTCTTCTTTGGTTATGAGCCTTTATTTGCAAACATTGTAGGCATCATTGTTGGGAGAAGCAGTTACAGGGAAAGGAATTCTTGCACAACTGAATCTGGAAACTGGAGTGCCGATCTATGAAGCCGAACCTCTCCTTCTCTTCTTCATCCTTTTTACCCTGCTTGGAGCCATTGGAGCCCTAGGTGACCGTGGTAGCTTCGTTGATGACCCGCCTACTGGAATTGAAGGGGCAGTCATCCGTCCAGGCAAAGGATTTAGATCAGCCCTAGGTCTCAAGGAAGGAGGTAACCACTTTGCAACTCTACATTAATGTTCAAATTAGAGTAATGGCCTTTGTGACGTGTTATGTTGTCAAAATGTCACGTTCTAACTTCTAACACGAGTTCATACAAAACTCTAATTAATGACTCAGACTGACATTTTTAGAACATAACACATCTGACAAGAGAGAACATCTTACTAATGAATTTTTGTTATCTTATATATATATAGGACCTCTATTTGGATTCACAAAGGCAAATGAGCTATTTGTAGGAAGATTGGCACAATTGGGATTTGCATTCTCTCTAATAGGAGAAATCATCACAGGGAAGGGAGCTCTAGCACAGTTAAACATTGAGACTGGGGTCCCCATTAATGAAATTGAACCCCTTGTGTTGCTCAATGTTGTCTTCTTCTTTATTGCTGCTTTGAATCCGGGGACTGGTAAATTTGTCACAGATGAGGGTGAGGAAGAATAGAGGCTTGTAAAGCTCACAAAAAAACAACTTATTTCAATCATGTATGAGATAATACTCTCTCTTCCTTCTCTAATTTTCATGTCATGGATTTTTTGCTGTTGAGATATTTAGTTATATACCCATTCTTAGCACTAGTGATATAGATAAACTCTACCTCATTTAATTTCCATAAAGAAGCCCAAAAAAAAAATAAAAAAACCAAAAAAGGATAGTTGGGCCGGCATGTTGAATTGAATTTTGATTATTAAATTACTTTGATGCCCTGTTGAGTGTTTTGAGTTTTTTTAAAATGAGGTTTTGGGGTTGAGCTTGTTTTAAAAAATCGATGAAAGTTTTGTAATTTATAGGAAGTTTGAAACCTCTTTGTTAGGTTGTAAATGGGTCATGAGTGTGTTTTTAAAGTCCATGCGTAATAGTGAATCCCTATGTTTTGTTATTATAATATTTTTTTTATATAGCTTTTCACAAATAGACACATTCTAACATGACATTTTATATATATATAAAACCTTTCAACTCCAATACTTTAGAAAAATTCCATGTTGTACTATATTGTGAAAAAATTCTAACATCTAAGAACCAATTAGAAAATGACATGTGGCTAGTTGATGATTTCCAAATAGGCGCTTTAAGAATTTTTATATAAAATGTCATGTTAGAATAAGCCTATTTGTGAAATGCACTTTTTTCCCCAGTCATATGAGACTTAAAATGGCTACCAAAAGAAAAGAAAATGAAAAAAAGAAAAAGAAAAGAATATGAGAAATTTGAAGCAAACTCTATCGTATGTTATGGTCCTACGGTTTAGAGGCCCTAGGCGAACAACCTAAATGGGACATTCTACTTTATATGTATATTAATGTATTATTTTTTTTCCAGTAAGTTAAAAAATATATTATATGAACTCAAATTCACAATTGTAATATAAAAGAAACAAACAATACGTAAGTTACATAACAACTTTATAAAATGCATCAAAACATCATTTAATTTATCTTAAATAAAAACTCCCATATGATACATAAAAAACGACAATAACAAAATAAATATTTGGCCAAGTATGCCTAACAAATCTTAACTCAAACTCCCTTTATCCTGGACTAGCTTTTCCCACTCAAACTCCAACACTCTTAACTATTTAATTCTCACCAATATCTCAAATAATTCATAAATAATCTCTGATAATATTTTTTGAAAAATTAATTCAAGATAAAAAGATATATATTTTCTCTCAATATACCAAAGGCAACTACACGGATGTTCATTGCAATTGTTCACATCATATAGTTGTGCATATTTTAGATATAGTAAACCCTCATAAAATTAGCATTCTTTCTTTCTTTATTTTCGAGTTTATTATTATGAATCAGATATCACGTTCTTTGAGTGACTGCACACCCACAAACACATATTCATAATAATTTTGCATATTCATCTACCCTTTGATCATCATTGCCTTTTGTTAATTTGTGCCATATTATTATTTTTATTTATTAAGTTGAGCGGAGTTTCTTATCAACACTTTCTCATTTAGGTGGACACATAATCTCTATTATTATAAAGTTATGCCTTGGCCTTAGCCTAGTGTCACACAGTTTCTCTTTATGATGCGTGAGCAAGAAAAAAATCATATACCGACACAAAATAAATTTAAAAAATCATGATTAAGATAAAAAGTGCATGTGAAGAGGCTCGTAATCTTTAATTGTTTATGACTTTTATTTTGTCGCCCGTTTGGTAAATTGGATAATGTAGTTGGATAGGATTCATATAGTCACATATTTGGTGGCTTAAAAACAACATATATTGAATTATGTCTTATCCTACTAAGCCATGTAATAGCACATTTCAATTAATCTAACCCCATAATCATGTGTAGTACCAAACATATCATTGCATTAGTGTTATCATTTTCAATTCAACACAATCCAATGCAATCTAATTCTACCTCATAATCCAATCCAATCTCGGTCACCAAACATGACCTACAAGAAAATGAGATCATTACACTGGCTAATTTTAGTTTATTTACATATTTATATTTACATTGAAATGATAACTCATAACTTGATCTACTCTTTGATTCTTTTCTCTTTATTGAGGTAGTCCAATGGCAATGAATTTTGGGATAAAAAAAAGTTGTAAAAAGGCAAATTCATTATCAAAAGAATTGGTTATCATAGTCATCGAGCCTTTACAAAAAGGGATGACAACCAAACAAACACAAAAATTCGACATCCAAGACTTAAAATAAGGACAAGCATAACTTAAATTACACAAAACTATTTGACATTTCAATTTAATTAATGACGTTTCTCATGATCTTCTGGCAAAAATCCACTGTTCATATTCTTTAGTGACTAGATTATCCTAGATTTTAATATAAATAAATAAATAATACTTAATAAAAAAAGAAGCTCCTTGTTGCCGTTGAGCTCCACGTCAGCACAAATAAAAATCATTCATGGAGAGAGAGAATAGCAAACAGAGTCTATTTACTCTGTAATTGATTCCTCTCAGCTTTCTTCTCACCTCTTCGTCTTCGTCTTCGTTTTCGTCTTCTCTGCGACAACTTTTTAGTCCTCAAAACTGCGTCGTATTGGATTCAATCCGAGCTCAAACTGCCACTATTGGCGGTTAATTATACCTCACCCGAATCAGGCGGAGCACGTTCGTCACCAACTGCTTCTTATCAACCTCCGTCGCTCTCTGTTCCCACAACTGTAATTTCCAAACAAAAAAGGTCCAATTTTCAGAAAAGTCACAGTCACCGTCACCATCGTAGCCGTTGATTTCAGCGTCTGGGATGGAGAAATCGAATGTATTGAGAGGCAGTTACCTAAATGGAGCTTACCATCCTTCCCTATCTTCTTCTTCTCGCGCAGATGTCAATTACAGGTTCAATCTCTCTCTCTCTCTCTCTCTCTGAAATCAGACTTGCTTATATAAAAATGGGGTTTTTCTGTTTTTGTAATTAATTTGATTATATGAGAAGAAAGATTGAATCTTTGATATTTGGGTGTGGATTTAATTGTCATTAATTTTTACTTGATAATAAGAGAATGAGACAAATGAAAGAATCTGTAGGATGTATTTGTGCTTGATGAGTGTTTGGGCCCAGAAACCCTTTTTTAGGATTACTTGATTAAACAAATGAGAAAATCTTTTGAGATCTATGAAAAGGGTCATCATCAAATTCCCGAAAATGGTATTGATTGGAAGAAAAGGGTAAATCTAAATTGACTTTCTTTCTTGCTGTTGTTGACAAATAAATTACAGTTCCTTGAGACTGCATCTTGTGGGAAAGAGTGGGATGCAAATATTTATCATCAGTTTCAGTACTTGAAGTTTTGTTATAGTGGTAGAGCACTAAGCCACTAGCCTCAGCCTACTTCAAGCCGAAACAGAGTTCTAAGACCTTGTTGTTCATGATCAAATTGAATATCTCAGAGGTGCTGAGAGTAGCAAAAAATTTGTTTTAAATGTTACAGGAATATAGATGTTTTAAACTAGCTTCTACTATCTGAGCTCTATGGGTCATTTTCAATTTAGTTGGCTTCATTTTGGATGGATTTATAGAGCATGTTACATAAATGGTTTTTCTCATGCAGCTGTGGATCTTGTGGCTATGAGCTAAACCTAAGCTCTAACAACCGGAACACTTCTACCATTGGCTCTAACAAGTATGGTAAATCTATAAAGCGAGGGATTATATCATTCTTTCACATCGATGACAGCAGATTTACGCAGGTTGATGAACTTCAATGTAAACCTCATTTCTCTAAGCGGTCTTGGGGTTTGTTCAGCCGGAGAACTAAACTGCTTTGTCGCAAGTGTGGTAAACATATAGGAAATGCTTATGATGATTATACTTCATCTTCTTTCCCACTAGTATTAGATGGATCGGATTCATCCTCAGGCCGTGAGCTTTCGAAATGCAGAAAATATGATGTTAGAATTCGATCTTTGCAGCCTTCAAATTCTGAAGAATGCGGCACTCCAATTTTCGGTTGACATATCTGAGCAGGCCTAGTTTGTATTTTCCTTCATGCTAAAGAAGCACCCGCAGCAACAGCTGCCGAACATTTGCTTCTGCAATACTCGTATCTATGAGGTTGTTCTCTGTATTGATTGGATTGCAGTTTTGTGTTTTCCTATATTTATTTAGAAAATTACTTGTATATAAAAAAGTTTGTTCAGCGTTGGAGGAATTATGGTGTGGAATTTTTGAAGTGCTTTGAATGTTTAAGCAACGTTTGTTAGAAGATAGCATTGCTGGCCCCTTAATATGTCAGATTTTATCCAATTTCTGAACTATTACCATAACCTTGTTCATGTCTTTGGACATTAAACACACATGGGAAGAGCCTGAGTTGATCTTCTTTTCTTTTTTGGGTTTAAAAAATGTACCAATGAGAAAAGTAGGTTGGTGAGGTGCCAAACTTGGTGGATTTACAGATTTGCTTAAATTTGTCGTAGTATTATGTTAGGAAATCTAGAGCCATAGACACACTTGTAACAACCACTGAGAATCTGAAATTACTCGATCATATATAAGTTTGCTGAATAAATAAAAAATATTACACAATTTTAATGTGTACAAATCAACCAAAAAAATACAAACCGACCGAAGATGCAGTGATTCTTGCGTAGAGGCTGCCGCACACAACAAACTCTCACATGAGGCCCAAATGCAGGGAGTACCCCTCGAGTCGCCATTGTATGCGGCGGTCCCTACACCACAACTTCTCTCATACATACATACTCTTGAAGTCACATTTTACAGTTTCATCTTCTAGACATTATTTAACATTTGAAACCCAGATTAAATCCTGCTTTTCTAGGTTGGACAATGCAATCCACGCATAAAATGCTGAAATATGTCCTTTGGCATTTGCCTTTCTGCAAAGACAATAGAAAATTCCACTTTCCTTGCACTATATAAAAACAAACATATTCTTGGATTTGCTTAGTTCTCATCTGCAACATCACATCTTTTTGGTATTTTCTTTTTCTCCACCATGGAGTCTCCCAGAATTACTATCAAAGTTATCATTTCTCTATTTTGCTCTTATATGCTTTTGTCACATTATATCACCACTTTGAGCCCTGCCTTGGCTTTGGAAGACTGTCACTTTCCAGCCATCTTTAACTTTGGAGACTCAAATTCAGATACTGGTGGAATGGCTGCAGCCATTTATCGACCACCACCACCTTTTGGGAAAACCCATTTTCATACGCCGGCGGGAAGATTCTCAGATGGCAGGCTCATAATCGATTTTCTTGGTATGTATATATTTCTTTTTATTTAAGGAAAATGTATATCATCTTTGTTATTCTGTGTATGTTTGGCTCTCATTCTCTGTAAACAACCATTCCTACTTACATGCGATTGAGAATCACAATTTGCGATATGATCTTTTACGCATGTTTGTCAAATGTCATGACTTGATGATCGACCTAAAGTGATCAAATTTTTTAGCCTAAGTACTTAAAACTCTATATCCATGACCAAACTTTTTAAAAATTTAAAGGGAAAAATCAGACTTAAAATCATCCCAATTATTTCCCACATTGGTTGCAAACTTGCAACATGCTTTTCTTTTTCTTTTTTTCTCTTTAAATTGTTGTCTGATAAAACTTGTGGTTTAGCCAAGAGTCTTGGTCATCCCTTTCTAAGCGCATATCTGGATTCAATTGGGACCAACTTCTCGCATGGTGCAAATTTTGCCACTGCATCTTCCACCATCAGATTGCCAGATCCCATTATACCAGCTCCTGGTGGATTTAGTCCCTTCACCCTCAATATTCAATGCTCGCAGTTCTTGCAACTAAAATCCAGATCACAACTCATAAGGCATCGAGGTAAGACAAAAACTAAAGCTCTATAATTATTTAATTATTAGGGTGACAAAACTTTGTGACTGGAGCTTTGTTAAATATGTATGTAGGGGGAATTTTTGCAAGTTTGATGCCCAAGGAGAAGTATTTTTCCAAAGCCTTGTACACATTTGACATTGGCCAGAATGACCTTCCAGAAGGGTTTTTTGGTAATTTGACTGTTCAAGAAGTCAATGCATCTGTTCCTGATATAGTCAGTACGTTTTCAGCAAATATTAAGGTAATTAATCTTCTGATGAAAAAAAATTGAATTAATATAACATGTCAGACTGTCTAATAATGAAATATTTTTTATTTTTCAGCTCGCTCTTTTTTCACTTTACTTAATTATAATCTTAATGTTTATGATGTAGAAAATATATGATTCGGGAGGGAGATCATTTTGGATCCACAACACTGGGCCAATTGGCTGTATCCCTTACATCTTAGTTAATTTCCCAGCTCAAAAGGATGAGGTTGGCTGTGCAAAGTTATACAATGAAGTAGCTCAGTATTTTAACCACAAGCTGAAGGAGGCCACAGTTCAACTTAGGAAGGATCTACCTTTGGCTGCAATAACCTATGTAGACATATATTCAGTCAAATACTCTCTTTACAAGGAACCCCAAAAATATGGTAAGCCACTCAACCTTATGATATTCACAAAACACACCGGCAAAAGGTTGTAACCTTTTCTTTTCCTTAGGTACCTAATTTCAAGTGACTTTGTTGGACTTATCAAGTATACATAACACCTGTCACATAATGCGGCTTAAAAAAATATGATTGGTTGTAAATGTTTCAGGGTTTGAGCAACCACTTGTTTCTTGTTGTGGCACTGGTGGCAAGTACAACTTTAACAGTAAAACTGTTGAATGTGGAAGAACAGTTACAGTTAATGGAAGACAAATATTTGCTGATTCGTGCAAACGTCCTTATGTTAAAGTTAACTGGGATGGGATTCATTATACTGATGCAGCTGCCAAGATTATTTTTGATAAAATTTCAACTGGAGCATTTTCCGATCCACCCCTTCCTTTCAAACAAGCATGTCACAGGAGTTTGGACTAACCCATAAATTAATCAATAACTGTGTGGTACCCTTGTAACTGCAGGTCCCATGATGTTTCCTTCTCTTATTTGGAACATTAGTTTTTGAGAGAAAAGCGATAGTATTTTATTGAATATGGATGAGTAACAAGTACAAATTGGGGTTTTGTGTTCATCCATTTGTTTAGAAAATTACTTGTGTATATAAAAGTTTGTGTAGCATTGAAGGAATATGGTGTGGAATTTTGGAGTGGTTTGAATGATTGAGCAAAGTTTGTCAGAACATTAGCCTATTTTTTTTCCTTTTTTGTTTTTTTTTTGGGTTTATAATAATGTACCAATGAGCAAAGTATGTAGTTGAGGTGCCAAACTTGGTGGATTTACATATTTACTTAATTTGTCAAAGTATTATGTTAAGAATTCTGGAGCCATAAACACACTTGTTAGGTTTTTGGGTTAGATATATTTTAAGCTTTCCTTGACAACCTTGTAATTGTGATTGCTTTCACTGTAAATGACTTCTCATCTTTTTAGTTCACGTGTTATTGTCACCACATCTTCTATAACTAGTTGTTGACTAGTCATGTTTGATTGTTATTCCCTTAGATCTATCTAGTTGGTTTAAAGTTTTTACCCCTTTCACACTTAAATACCAATTTCACCGTGACAAATTGAGATTACTCGAATTGTTTTCTCCACCATGGAGTCTCCTAGAATTACTATTAAACCTCTATTTTTCTTCTCTTATATGCTTCTGTCACATATCACCACTTTGAGCCTTGCCTTGGCTTTGGAAGACTGTGAGTTTCCAGCCATCTTTAACTTTGGAGATTCAAACTCAGATACTGGTGGATTGGCTGCATCCCTGTTCCTACCATCACCACCACCACCTTATGGGGAGACCTATTTTCATATGCCGGCTGGAAGATTCTCAGATGGCAGGCTCATAATGGATTTTCTTGGTATGCATTTTTGGCTTTTTGTTTTTTAGGAAAAGGTACTAAATTATAAGTTTTTTTCTTTTTCAACATGCATTTCGTTGTTATGCGGTTTTCTTTTCTTTTCCCCTTTGTTTGTTATACCAAAATTCTTGTCTAATAAAATTTGTGGTTCAGCAAAGAGTCTTGGTCACCCCTTTCTAAGCGCATATCTGGATTCACTTGGGGCCAACTTCTCGCACGGTGCAAATTTTGCCACTGGATCTTCGACCATCAGATTGCCAAATCGCATTTTACCAGCTCCTGGTGGATATAGTCCCTTCACCCTCACTATTCAATACTCGCAGTTCTTGCAACTAAAAAACAGATCACAACTCTTTAGGCATCGAGGTAAAAAAAATTACTGAAGCTCTACAATTTATTAATTATTACGGTGACACATTATTTTCAAGCCAAAATTTTGTGACTGGAGCTTTGTTCAATATGCATGTAGGGGGAATATTTGCAAGTTTGATGCCCAAGGAGGAGTATTTTTCCAAAGCCTTGCACACATTTGACATTGGCCAGAATGACCTTGGAGAAGGGTTCTTTGCTAACTTGACTATTCAACAAGTCAATGCATCTGTTCCTGATATAATCAGTAGCTTCTCAGCAAATATTAAGGTAATTGATCTTCCAATGATAAAGCTATATTAATATAACAAGTCAGACTGTCTAATAATGCAATATTTTCTATTTTTCCGCGTACTCTTTTTTCACTTTTACTGAATTATAATGTTGATGTTTACGATGTAGACAATATATGATTTGGGAGGGAGATCATTTTGGATCCACAACACTGGGCCAATTGGCTGTCTCCCTTACATATTAGTTAATTTCCCATCTCAAAAGGATGAGGCTGGCTGTGCAAAGTTATACAATGAAGTAGCTCAGCATTTTAACCACAAGCTGAAGGAGGCCACAGTTCAACTCAGGAAGGATCTACCTTTGGCTGCAATTACCTATGTAGACGTATATTCAGTCAAATACTCTCTTTTCAAGGAACCCCAAAAATATGGTAAGCCACTCAACTCTATGATATTCACAAAACATACCGACAAAAAGTTGTAGCTTAGCTTTTTCTTTTCCTCACGTGCGTACTTTCAAGTGACTTTGTCGGACTAATTATCAAGGACATATCACCTGTCACATAATGCGGCTTAAAAATATGATCTCTTAAGTATTATTGAAAAAGGAAAGCATGCATGGAGAAATTCCGCGAATGAAATTTATTTTCATTTGGTATTAATTGCTTGGAAATCTTTCAGGGTTTGAGCAACCACTTGTTTCTTGTTGTGGCTCTGGTGGCAAGTACAACTATAACGGTAGAACTCTTGAATGTGGAACAA